TCATATGGTAATTTACATTTAGCTTTTTAAAAAATTAAAAAAACATTTTTTCTATATTTAACTTTTTGAGGAACTGTCAACTGTTTTCTACAGTGGCTGAATCATTTTACATTCCTATTAACAATGCACTTGGTTCTACTTTCTCCACATCCTCACCAATACTGTTATTTCATGTGCCTATTGGCTATAGTATATCTTCTTTGTAGAAATATCTGTAAGTCTTTTGCCTATATTTTAATTAGGTTGTCTGCTTTTTTGTTGTTGAGTAGTTCTTTTACATTCTGGATATTAAACTCTTATTAGAGATGATTTGTAAATACTTTCTCTCATTCTGTGGGTTCTCTTTTTACTCTCTTCTATCTTTTGATCACAAAAGTCTTTAATTTTAATGAAGTCCAAGTTACCTATTTTTTCATTTGTTCTCTATACTTTTGAGGTCCTTTTTTAAGAAACAATTGCCAAACCTAAGATCATGAAGATTTTCTCCAATGTTTTCTTCTATGAGTTTTATTTTCCTAGCTCTGAAATTTAGGTCTTTGATCCACTTGGAATTATTTTTTGTATACAGTATAAGGTATGGGTTCAATTTCAATGTCTTACATGGAGATAATCCAGTTTTACCATCACCATTTGTCCAAAAGGCTTTTTTTCATTGAATGGTCTTAGCAATCTTGTTGAAAAATCATTTACTGTAGATGTGAAGGTTTACTTCCAGACTCTGTTTTACTCTGTCTTCTCTACCTATTCTTTTGCTAGTACAACATTGTTTTGACTACTGTATCTTTGTAGTAAATTTTAGAATCTGGAAGTGTGAATTCTCTAACTTTTTCTTTTTTCGAGATTGTTTTAGCCATTCAGGGTCCCTTGAGATTGTATCTGAATTTTAGGCTGAGTTTTTTTATTTTTGCAAAAAATGCTCTTGGGATTCTGATAGGGAGTGCATGGAATCTTTAAACTGTTTTGGGCAGTATTGTCATCTTAACAATATGAAGTCTTCTAATCCATGAACATGGGATATCTTTCCATTTATTAGGTCTTTCTGAATTTCTTCAGCAATATTTTGTAGTTTACAGTGTACAAACCTTTCTTCTATTTGATAAATTTATTCCTAAACATTTTATACTTTTTGATGCTATCATAAGTGGAATTGTTTTCTTAATTTCCTTTCGGATTGCTCATTGCTAGTATATTACGCACAATTTTATATTATGCCTTTACCTAATATAATTATTTTTCCAAGCTCTCAGAGTATCTTAATTTATGATTTTAATGGTTACAAAACTGTCTAGGAAGCTAATGTATCATAATTACATTGCTTATAGTAATAAACATTTAGAACGTTATCCATTTTTGATTAGTATAATATTGCAACAGACTTCAAAATTAATTATTTTTCTTTAATGTTTTCTTTATGAATTTTTTTTCAGATAGAAGTTGCACTAAGGTTAAGGACTATGTAATGCTCTTGATATATTAAAACCAAAATTCTTTCCTTAAGGATTTAATTAACTTATATATCCAACCAATCTTAGTTTCTTTGTTTATTGTGTTTGCTGTTTTCCTAAGCAAATGTAAAATATAGGTTAGTAGAGGACTAAACACAGCACTGTCACTATCAGCAGGCCCATACTTTGGTACCTAATGAGTTCCAGAAAAAGTATTCTAAAGATGGATATGCAAAAACTGAACAATGACTACAAAAGTGGTGGATATCTATTATAAGTGTGAGGTATGGGGAAGAGAGTATTCTATTACATAGAACAAAAATACTATAAAATTCCTACTTTATGACTTTAAATGTTCTTTGATAATAAAATTCTAGCCTTTTTATATTTAAATATTTTTTCCTCTTTCCTTCATAGTCCCTAAAGATTTGCTCTTTTTCTGGGACAAGAAATGATTTATATTTTTTTCTCAAGTGAATTATATTTACAGGATTTATATTTTTTTATTAAGATCTAAACATATAATTTGTTTTAGTATTGCAATTTTTTGGTTTTCTATTCACATAAAAGAAATGAGTGACTAGCAGCTTAGAAGCTGAAGGTTTACAGAAGAGTAATATGGGTACAGTGGAAGGTACAGTGGAAGGCAGAAAGAATCTAAGGCAGAAACAATCATCATTAAAATGATCAGCCATGAGATCCAAGTGGGTAAAGGAGAAAAAGTCAAAGTGGTTGACCAGCTAGCTGTTAGAGAATATCTGCTTACAGATTGAGGACTACTTTATAAAAGTTATTTAAATAGCTCAACTGAATTATATTAGAAAATTTCCTTTTGGTTACATTAGCACAGGGAAAAAAAATTCCTCAAAGAAAAGGAAATGAATAGTGAAAGAAAAGACGACTTCATTTTTTGGACATGATTCATTACAGTAAAGCAAAGCTATAAAGAAAAAAAAATACCATGAATATTTTCTATAGTTTGGGTTTTAGTGTCCTTTTTCCTTCCTTTGGTAGTCATTCTTTTAAATCTATTACAATGTCACTGGAATCTTATTACTTAGTCTACTTAGTTATTTTATGAACATTCAAATATGCAGCTGGACAAAAATAAAACTAAGTTCTACTTACCTGTATAACCAGTTTCACTAGTCAATTAAATCAAACAATTGCCTCGACTTTGTTTTCACGGAACTGACCTTAACTGAATAAACTGAACTGACAAGTTGCTTTGTGTTTCAAAGTGCAGAATAGTCCGGAGGGGGGTGGGGGGTGGGGCCGGGGGCTGGTGAGCAACATCAGGGAAGCACTAAGGGCATTTACAAATTGTAGTTAGCTGTAGCCTAGAATGAGCTACGTTTGAAACTTATCAGATCTAAATTCAATTGCATAAAAAGTATAACAGCAGTCATTAGTCTTAATTATTTTAGTTCCACTTTTTTCATCATAGCAATTACACAGGTTAGGTTTTAGTATTATAAACAAAATTAAGGGTCCCAGAAGCCTTACTTTCAAAAGGTATCTCTAATATACAGCCTACAAACTCTTCCTTCTCTGGACATTAAGAACTACAGTGCTGTCAGTTTTAAGAACATATTTCTTTATAAATTTGTTAAGCTTTTAAATCTCCAAATTTAATTCCTCATGAAAAATAGATGTTTGTCAATGAAAAGTGATGCTAATACCTATTTTTGAAATAATTATAATTCGACAGAATTTAATTCCTCCAACATGGCTTACAAAAGTCTTTCTGTAACTATAATAATTAGTATTCAAAAAGTTACACAATCACTCACTTTGCCTATTGTTAGTAATCTTTTCCTTATAGGAAAGCCTTAGTAATTAGTGACTCAAGAATCATATACGTAATAAATGACTCAGGAGTAAACCCATGACACAACATTTTATAGAATTGTTATTCCGCCTTTGTTTCAATAAATTGTGCATATGATTCAGAGAAACGCAACACCTGATTAAAGCATAATTATATATTTCAATTCAAATTTTAATTAACTCTTGGATGATAATCTAAAATCATATATTTTCTCTTAAAATTAAAAAAAAGTATATAAAGGTGACCACATTTTGTTGTGTTTCTACTAAATGTGGGATTTTTTTCCTTGTAGAGTTTATTTTTAAAGAAACTCCTAGAAATGGAGCTCTCGCCAGGGACAAAATGCATTCTGTTGAATAGAATTTAACATTGAATTAGTTTCTGTGCATAAGATATTTACAAGTGATACTTTCTAGTAGGTGGTAGTTTTTGAAGAAAATTCCACATATCCTTATCTAATCTTTTTGATTGTGCCTTGGAATGTAAAATGCCTATTTGAGGTCCAATATGGAGCAACACTTTGGTACTAATTCTCTGTGTTCTCAACCTATAGGAGTAGTTGTCAAATCTAGTTAAATCATCAGATCACTGGTGAAAACAGTTAAAAACAGTGATTTCTGGGTCCCAGCCCAGTTCCAATGAATCAGAATTTCTCAAGGCTAGTCTTAGGTTCTGATAATCAGTCAAAAATTTAGAAAGCATAGCTTTTGTGATCAGGCCACTCCATCCAACTTTTAGCAGGTTTAACTCTACTGCACATAATTCATCTTATATCCTGAACTTACCATCCTTCCCATTAAAACCACTTTCTTATCCTGTGGCTCAGTGGTTAATAATCTCATCATATTTAACAGGAGTGATATTTAACTGATACAATTCAACCAATTAAGATGCCAGCTTTGCACTGGTGCCTGGAGAAACTCTGTAATTCCAGGTATTACTTCTTTGTTGGTATATGGTGAGGAGATCTGGGGGATTTTAGGAGAGGCACCAGACAGAAAGAAATGACATGCAGGGACTTAGGACAACAGCTGTGTATAGTATTCTCACAAATACTTTCTTGTTTATTTTTTTAAAAAGATTTTATTTATTTATTTGAGAGAGAGAAAGAGCACATGGGAACAAGGGCAAGTAGTGGGGGGTGGCAGGGTGGGCGGGAAGGAGAGGGACAAGTAGACTCTACTGAGTGTGGAGCCCAATGCAGGGCTTGTTCCCAGGACGCGAGGAGATCATGACCTGGAATGAAACCAAGAGCTGGACACTCAACCAACTAAGCCACCCCGGCACCCCCAAATATTTTCTTATTTTAATAACCAAAAGCAAGTGCATGCTAGTTGATTATTAGTCCTGCTCTGATCCTGAGATTATCAAAGTATGGTAATAAGGAGATATTAACAAAATAAAATGAAAAATAATAGGTAAGACAAAATTCTTGAGAAGGACATTAAATATTTCAGAATAATCAGCTTGGATGTGATGGACTATCTACTCATAAGTCACAGAATACTCAGGACTGGAGAGGGTGATTTTTTTTCCAAGTGTGGTCATATATCACTTTTATTAGAGTCACAAGAAGAGAGAGTTAAACATGCAGATTCATGGGTTTCATTCCAGACCTACTTAGTCACAATCTCTAAGGGCAGGATCTAGAAACCTATATATTTTTTTTTTAATTTTTTTTTTTATTTATTTAAGATAGTCACAGAGAGAGAGAGAGAGAGAGAGAGAGAGAGAGAGAGAGGCAGAGACACAGGCAGAGGGAGAAGCAGGCTCCATGCTCCGGGAGCCCGATGTGGGATTCGATCCCCGGTCTCCAGGATCGCGCCCTGGGCCAAAGGCAGGCACCAAACCGCTGCGCCACCCAGGGATCCCTAGAAACCTATATTTTAAACAAGAATCTTTGGTGATTCTTACAGTCACTAACATTTGAGAATCACTAGTGAGGTGTAAGTATAGAGCAAAGCGGCAGACATGTGAGGGACACCTACACTGCAGGGTTGGAAGAAGATAAGACATCTGAGGGAGAATGGTGTCATTAAGCAAGAATTTCTAGATTATCTATGAAATCCAAAATGTCATGCCATAGATCAGGAGACTGAGAAAAGAATACCAACAATTAGGAAACCAGTGCTGATCACTAAGGGCGGGCATAGCTGAACAGATGATCAGGGAGGACAGTAGTAGGAATTAAGTATAAAGAGAGGGGTTAACTTTTGAAAGTTGCCTGTTTCCACACACACACACACACACACACACACACACACACACACACACACACACACACAGTCTCTCTCCCATTTTTTTTGAAGGACCAAAAAGAGTAAGTGAAGATATAAAAAAAATCCTTGGGTGAAAGAGACTCCAGAAAAAGAAACTGAGATGACCTAATTATAGTAACGAAGTTACAGATGATGATGGATGATGGAACTGATGGTTTTGAGGAGTGGAAATGACCTGCAATGAGGATATTGGGACGGATATCCCAATAATAGGACAGATGCAGAAAAATAAAAACACTGGGCAGCAGGAATGAGGGCACGGCTGGTCATCAACAACATGAATTTGTAATGCTTTCAAGAGGCAAAAGTAACAGATTTCCACAAGAAATTTTCAGCACATTACCACAAAACCAAAGAATCTTCTCTCCCTTTCTCCTTCCTTCCATTAAGTATTTATGGGGTAACTATCAGATTTTAAGGTAATATGCAAAGGGTAGAGAATGTCAAGAAAAGCCAGATTGATGGATGAATTAAGGGACAAAGCAATCTGGGGTACTAGTGAGTGTAGTACTCAGATGGTTGGTAAGGCTGGGTAGGAAGAAAAATGAAGTCAAGAGGGGCTTGACAGGGAAAATATGAAGAGTTTATGAGTGTGGAACACAATGAGTGCAAATAAAGCACAGATTTAGTGGGAATGAGAGGACTGGAAGAGCTGGAAGGACAGGAGATTAGAGTCAGAGAATGGGATTTTCAAGTTCAAGGGGTTTAAATTTCTTGTCCCTGAGAAATTCGTTTTAATGTGGTTCAATTGTATACCAATCCTGCTCACAATGGGGAGGGTGTTGCTGTGAGTTGTAATAGTTCTTAAATAAAAAAAAAGTGGTCATTCATGAGTTATCAAGGCAAACCAGTAAGATAAGGAGTTTAAACAATTTGTTTGATGGGTAAACAGGATACAATTTATAGATAAATCATCGTTTTCCCTTACTTCAGTGGTGGTTGGTATTTTGTATACACACACACTCTCACATTAGCTGGTATGTGAACCTATAAAAAGCATGCTTATAGAACAGATTCTAGTATATTGTCCTGAATCCACGTAATTGAGTTTCTTCCAGAAGGAACCGTAACAAAGACTTCTTGGCTTAAGCACTTGGCAAGGCTGGACACAGAGCTGTTAGAAAAATGAAACTGAATGTTTTATCCATAAAACAAATTGGTCATTCATATGGTAGATAAATATATGCTAATCACTATTAAAATAAAAAGGTTAACCTGTATATAATTCCACATTACAATCTCAAAAAATCAGAATGGCAATAATCAGCCTCTTCACATTAGGTCTTCTTTATGGAACTTTATCATGGATCAACAGTTTAATTATCCCTCATGTCCAGTTACATTATATCTTGAGCATCCACAAAATTTGTGAGGACACTAACTTCCCAAGGAGTGAAGCATCACATGAAATACACAGACACAAGAGAAAATGAAGAAGTCTCCCCCAGATTCCTTAACATTACAAAAAAATTGTTATCTATGTCAAAAAGTTACTTTCCAAGGGATATTTTCCTGCTACCAACAAATCCAGCTTCAAGGACTGCCAAATTGTACAAGGGACAAAAGGTGGCCACGATTACCTTCACAGAAAATGAGCCACTAACATCTTCTCCCTCCTTTTTTCATCTATCTCTTCTCTGTGGTATTCAGATTTCATTCCCTTTCTCATCTTGTTTTTGAAGACTTTATTACAACAGTTTTAGGTTCATAGCAAAATGGCCTGGAAACACATGGAGTTCCCCTATATTCCCTGCTCCCCCATCTCACAACCTCTCCCAGCATCAGCATTTATGACAACTGATGAACCTATACTGACACACCACTGTCATCCAAAGTCTAGAGTTTACATTACAGTGCACTCTTGGTGCTATACATTCTATGGGTTTGGACAAACGGATAAGGGCATGTGTCCAGTTACAATATTATAAACAACAGTTTACCCTAAAAAGTCCTTTTGCTGTATCTATTTATCCCTCCCTCTCTCCTAACCCCTGCAACTACTGATCTTCCGTCTCCATAGTTTTGCCTTTTCTAGAATATCACATAGCTAGAATTGTACTGTATACAGCCTTTTCAGATGGTCTTTGCCTGTTTTTAAGTTTTTTTTCCTTCATCCTCTGCTTTGCTTTTCTGTGTTTTCTCTCCTAAATGTTAGGAAACATACTGTTTTATTTTAAAGTGAGAGAGCGAATGAGCAGTAGGGACAGAGAGAGAGCGAGAGAGAATCTGAAGCCAACTCTGTGATGAGGACAGAGCCTGATGTGGGGCTCAATCTCACGACCCTGAGATCATGACCTAAGCCAAATGTTTAACTGACTATGTCATCGAGGTGCCCCAAACATACTCTGTTTTAAAAACTAGAAGTAGTCCACTCATTTGCTTGGAAAATCTTTTTTTTTTTTTTTAAAGATTTTATTTATTTATTCATGAGAGACACAGAGAGAGAGAGAGAGAGGCAGAGACGCAGGCAGAGGGAGAAGCAGGCTCCATGCAGGGAGCCCGATGTGGGACTCGATCCCAGGTCTCCATGATCACACCCCAGGCTGCAGGCGGCGCTAAACTGCTGTGCCACCGGGACTGCCCTTGCTTGGAAAATCTTATTTGGAACTTAATAAATAATTTACAACTGAGAACACCGAGGCACAGAGAGGTCAAACAACTTTTCTGAGTTTACACAGCAAGTAATTACCAGAAAGGACAGTTTAACCCAGTGAGTCTGGCTCCAGAATCATTTGCTTAATAGCCAGTATTCATTACTGCCTCTCAGTAGCAGGAAAGAAAGCAATAACATGTACGACTAGCACAAAATGTGAAGATATAAGAATTCCTCTCCTCTACTACCTCAAAATAAAGAATGTAGACTAAAGGCATGGGTGTGCATGACAACACACAAACACTAAAGAAACATGACCAACTGTCCACAAAGGAAGATGCTTCATAGCTATTCTTCCACATAAAGATATCTAATTGAATCTACGTGGGTGCCATGTTCATGTGGGATTTATGGGTGCTATGCTCATTCCTTGGTGCTTTAGTCATTTTCCAAGGACATGTAAGAACAGTGGTGCTCCGTTTGTGCCTTCTGTGTGCCCATCTGGCTGCAAATTACAGGCAGTGATAATTGGTTGTTATCCTGTGCCTGGTTTACTTCTTTCATAAAACTTACGAAGTTTTAATTTTTTACTTGAAAAAAAATGCTTTGTTTCTCCCTAATTAGGATATAAGCTCCAAATGGTAGGAATTTCTGTCTTATTCAATGATTATTTCAAGAACCTAGAATGACAGCTGACATACAGGTACTGAATATTTACCAAAAGACTGAATTTCATATTAGTACTACCTGACACTTAACAGAATTCATTTACTTAATATACTTTATTTCTTATGCTGAGTTCAATGGCACAAAATGAACTAAAACATTTTTTGATAACATTACCTTTACCAATTATTCTTACATAAGTACTTCCTGTGTAAAGAGCCAATAAAGAAATAAATTTATTTGGGGGAAAAAATCACATTTTCTACAATGGGAAATCTTGTTGTTTACTGGAGTTCCTCAAGAATATATCTACGTAACTCAGTGATAAAAATGTTAACACATAGATATGGAACTCAATACAGTTCGAAGAAACTCAATGCAGTTCAGAACAAGATGTATTTTTTTTTTTTTAAGATCTTCTTTATTTGAAGGAGAGAGCACAAGTGGGAGAGATGCAGAAGGAGAGGGAGAAGCAGACTCCCTGCTGAACAAGAAGCTTGACCCAGGGCTCCATCCCAGGACCCTGGGATTATGACCTGAGCTGAAGGCAGATGCTCAACTGACTGAGTCACTCAGGCACCCTAAAACAACATTTATTTTAAAAAAGGGATCACTTCAGGGGTGCTTGGGTTACTCTGTCAATTAAGCAACTGCCTCTTTATTTTTAGCTCAAGTCAGGGTCACAGGGTCATGAGATCAAGCCCTGCATCAGGCTCTGTGCTCAGCACAGTGTCTGCTTGAGATTCTCCTCACTTCTCTCTCCCTTTGTCCCTCCCCTTGCTCTGTCTCAAATAAAAAAATAAAAAAATAAAAATAATAAAAAAAAAAACTTAAAAAAATCACTACAAGTTTTTGTTTTTTGTTTTGTTTTGTTTTGTTTTTGGTGAAGATGAAGCCTAAACACTTTCTACAGATAAAGAAGAAAATAGCAGGGTTCTCAGACTGTTAGTCATATATACACATTATAAATAATTTGCAGGATCAGAGTTATAGAATAAAATTATACAAATCTATAAATGGTACTAATTCCAAACAATGGGAGAAACCATAGTAAATTTGTTCAGAATTGTTCAGTGGAAGAGAAATGGACAAAAATACGGGGAAATAATAATTGCTTCAGCAGCACACTGTGTTAATTCAAAATCATACAGAGGCTGGATTAGCATTGTTCCTATATGTGGTAGAGAATTGGGAAGCATTATAGGTTTTCATATGACAGTCACACCAGAGGACCCTGTATTTCTTGAACAGGTTTCACTTTTTTTCTCTTCTCAGTATCTATGTTGATTTCTTAAGAAGGCTTCCCTAAGGAGAAGAAAATGTGTTACTTATCTGTCCAATTGAAAACACACTGTGGGTTGTAAGCAGTATTAAAAAAAGGAAGAGAAAAGAAACAACAGAATGGCAACTAATAGAATATTTTACATGTCGTAAGGTACCCACTCCTGTGAAAATTACTTCAAGTACACACACATACACACACACACAAATACACATAAATGTATATACTGGATTGTTATATAAGCTGCACTTCTTACTATAGGTAATGGTGAAAGAGTATAAAGCCTATTTGTTCAGGTGATAGTTAACATTTTTAATTATAAAGTACAAAATTTACATTCAAAGTAGTCCAAATCCAAATCAGTCTCTGATTAATTTTGTGGCAAGGTTTTGTGGGCTTTATCACCTGCTGAAAATTTCGGATCTGAAGGGTGGAGGTGTCATGTAAGGGAGGAGTTAACATTACATGTTAACTATTCCAATGGCATGTCCACCAAAAACCTAAGAGCAGACAGAGTAGAATTTAGAATTTGCATCTGAATCATTTTTCTCCTTTGATTCTTCTCTCATAAATATGCCAATCTAATGGAAGCCCACTCAGACAAAAGAGCTTCTTTTAGGCCTCAGGAAGTCTGGGAATCTGGTAAACTCCGGGATCTCACACTCTTTAAGATCCTAGTTAGTGCAAGCAACACTCCTATGGTTTCATAAAGTAGTTTGAGTGGCATTAAATAAGCACTTAAAATTGCTAGCCATTATTAATATCATTTATTCATATAATTTTGATTTTAGCGAAATATTTACACAAAATTTTTAAGAGGCTATGTTATCAGGATGCCTGGCTGCCTTAGTGGTTGAGTGTCTGTCTGCCTTTGGCTCGAGAGGATGATCCCGGATTCCCGGGTTTGGGTCCCACATCAGGCTCCTTGCATGGAGCCTGCTTCTCCTTCTCCCTTTGCCTGTGTCTCTGCCTCTCTCTTTCTGTGTCTCTCATGAATAAATAAATAAAATCTAAAAAAAAAAAAAAAAAAAAAAGGAAGCTATGTTATCATTGCTATTAAATGTTTATCTTCATCATTTTATTGTATATTATTATTGCTTACCTTTTGCTTTTCTATACCGATTCAACAAAGTTGTTGAATTTTATTAGTAATTCATGTTCTCTATTTTAAATATCATAATTCTGGTTAATTTGAAGTTTTTATTAGTCTTAAAATATCCAGTTTTCCATACTTTTCCTAAAATGCTTAGTTTGTATGCAATTAAATATACTTTTAACACTTGAAAAGAGCAAGTGATTACTCTCCAGAATTGCAGTTTTACTATCATCTACCTTTTCATAAAAATTACTTACACTGTCATTATATAACCTTTCTATATTGTGTTAAAAATTCATTTGGATAGTTCATTCTGAATATTTCCACATAAGCAAAATAAACATTATTTATTCCAATTCTGAAACTAGTATTTATTTAAAATGCCAAGGGTATTGATAACAATACTTACCTTATTACTACTATTGCCAGAAGCAGAAAAATAAATAAAACATAGGACAAAAAAAACCCATCTGCATT